TTTAATTGAAAATATTTAAATCAAAATTTAGTTCGAAAATTACCTCAACAATAAGGGGAATACGTATGGTTCATTCACGATCGGGCATAAGAAAGACATGCGGAACCACGCCCATGATTGTAGAAGCAGAAGACATCCACCGATAGCAGTTTTCTTATAATTCGTCGCCCGACACATTTCTCTAAAGAGAAATGCCAAAACTGCAGCACCCCAACTATATCTTCCAGCTTCATCAAAATCGATCAGATGCCGCAACCACATACAATGCACCTGGTTGCGAGATTTGTCGGGCATCAATATTCCTCCAATTATTCGTAGAATATATGCCCGAGCACATGCCTTTGCTTGATCCTCTGAAGCATTTTCATTTAAAACCTCAAAATTAGCTTTCAACCAAGATAAAGCTATTCTACCTCCATTAAACTCTGGCGGAGAAGCTCCAAGATAATCAATGCACATTGATTGCCAATCACCATCCGCCATACCACACATCATATTTCCGTCGACGGGAAGCCCCAGATGCATAGAGACATCCTCCAATGTAATTGTTGCCTCTCCACATGGAAGGTGAAAAGTGTGTGTCTCGGGCCTCCACCTCTCAATCAGTGCAGAAATTAGGACAGGTTCGAGTTTGCAACCGCCTATAATTGTTGCAATATACCCGAACCCAGCAGAAGCCAAATATGGCAAAATACGTTCCGGTGTCGGTATACGTGGATTTTTAATAAAAGTTTCTAAAATACGATCAGCATCCTAAATAATATATATTATAAAAAATAAAAATTAATATAAATTCATAATAACTTTAAAATAAAAATAAATTTAAATATTAACATTAATTATAAAAAATATTACCATATCGCTAAAATGTCTGGAGATATGATCAATATCCAATCGCAACAGCATTTCGTTTTCCATTATAACTGTAGACAAAACAATATAATTAGCAAAAAAAAATTAATAATTCTAAATAAATAATAATTATATAAATATTATTTTAATAAAAAAAATAATATTTACATAAATATATTAATATAAAAAATAATAACTATTTAAAAAATACTAACATAAAAATAAATTTCTTACCACTAATAACAAATTTAAAACTCAAATAGATGGAGAATTTGAGTTATATAAGAGAGGAGAAGATGATTTTGGTGTGAAGAATGAGGGAGGGTTGAGGGGGTTTATATAGGGGAGGAGGAGGGGTAGTTAGGAAAACGGATGGGGGCATTTATGACATTTAATGGGGGCGCGTCCCGGGGATGCGCTTTCCACACGTGTTTGCTGATATGGCAAAGGCGCGTCCCCGGGGACGCGCCTTTCACACGTGGCATCCAACTCAGCGAAAACACGGGTAAAGCGCGTCCCCGGGGACGCGCCTTTGCCAACTCAGCAGAAAATGTGCTACTTCTGGAAATATTGGTCAAACGGTGTCAGAAAGGTAAAATTAAAAGCCAACGGTGTCCGTTATGTAATTTAGCCCTCTCCCTCCATGTCAATGAAAATGATTAAAAAACTTAATACTTTTTGTTCCATATGAAAATTTTTAAATTTCTTTCGTTTGTTTTGATGGTGAAATTAAATGATTGTCGCTTTATATATTTATATTAGGTGTTATGATATAATTATATAATAATGAATATATATATATATATATGAAAGTGATGATATTTATAGAGATGATTGATATATATTTATGAAATTTAAAATATATTTGATTTTTATATTTAAAAATATATATTAATTTTATTAATTTGATTATTGATATTATTGATTTGTTTGTGTTTATATGACTAATATATTATGTATAATATATATATTAAATATTATAAAGTTTTATTTTTTAAGTAATAATTAAGAATGTATTATTTTATATTTTTTTATATAATTTTATTTTTTAATAATTTTTTAGTTTCTTTAATAATTTTTATATTTAAAATTTAAAATAATTTTTATTTTTAAAAAAATAAACAAATCTTCAAATTTTTAAACAATAATTTAGCTCTGTACTTGATAAAAAAAATAATATACCTCTCTATTACATTGTCATCCGTTACAAATCATCTCATCGACATAATGAACTGTCAGAATCTTAAAGTTTAATATAAAGAATCGAAATAATTATTTTTCTGAATTGAAGGCATTAAATGAAAAAAAATCAGAGGTTATATTAATTAAAAAATTTGAAGACCTTAAACACTATTAAGCCGATTTAATATTTTGGGGAGATAAGTGGTGGAATTTAAGTCTCTCAAAGGATTGTTAAAATAGATTTTGAACGGAAGCATTCCAACGCTGTTTTGAGTGTTTTTATATGTATGAATTCAGTCCAGGAATCTCGACGTTATTTTTCAGTAGAGGATCTCAACGCTTTTCAGAGATGAAATTTAACGCAAGTATCTCGACATTGTTTACAACAGAGGATCTCGACGCTTTCTAAAGAGCGGAAGCATCTCAATGCTATGTCCCGACCGAAACGACATATCCCCTCACACGTCAACCAGTACAAGAGATTTCCAGGTAGGCCGGGATGACCAACGATCAACCACGATGAGCAGTTTTATTAGAACAGTCCACGAAGGAATCACTAGAATTGAATGGTTCAGCTGTTTCCCATTTATGTACCTAATCACCAGTCTTCTATTCAAAGTAGGCTTCGTTTTGGTCTTCAAACAAAGGTAGACTTTACAAGTCAATAGTGGCTAAGACGAGGCAAAATGGCAGCTATTATTCTTGAGAGACAAGCAAGAGTTCCAAAGATAGACCCCACGCAATAACTATGTAATTGGATCTCATCTTCTTCCACATATTAAACAATACCCTAATGCTTATCGCCATGAGTACTCACCGTTTCGAGATGAATCGAACCTACTCGGGCTTATTCGAATAATTTGAACTAATATTAGATTGATCATAACAATTGACATATATCATGCTTATAGCTCAACAGCTCTGAGAATCCTGATATTGCTAAACCCAATTTTCCCTTGCATTTGCCTCCAAACGACATAGAAAAATCCCAGAGAAGACCTCTCTTATTTTCTCTTCGTCAATCGACGGATGCAAAAAAGTAGGCGAACATCAATACTAATTCACTATATACTAAGAGGGGTTAGAATAATTTGATTTCCCGAAATGCTACTTAGGTGGTGTTTGTTTTTGCAGAGGTAAAAGGTCTGCAGTCTGCGGACCACATCTGCAGGCATATGCAGCAGAAAAGGTGGATCAAAAGTCTGCAGTCTGCAAGAATAAGACTGTTTGTTTTTTAACGTCTGCATACTGCTAAAATGAACTGAAATATAAATAAACTGGTTTTTTAAACTTAAAAGAGTTTTGCAATACTGAGATTTAAATAATTTTAGTTTTACAATACTAAAATTTAAATAATCAATATAACTACAATAATAAATTATTTAAAATAAATCAATTCATATTTTAAAATAAATCAATCCATACAACTACAATAATAAATCAATCCATATTTTAAAATAAATCAATTCATACTAATAAATTATTTAAAATAAATCAATCCATACTAATAAATTATTTAAAATAAATCAATCCATACAAATACAATAATAAATCAATCCATACTAATAAATTATTTAAAATAAATCAATTCATACTAATAAATTATTTAAAATAAATCAATCTATATTTTAAAATAAATCAATCCATACTAATAAATTATTTAAAATAAATCAATCCATATTTTAAAATAAATCAATCCATACTAATAAATTATTTAAAATAAATCAATCCATACAACTACAATAATAAATCAATCCATATTAATAAATAAATCAATTCATACTAATAAATTATTTAAAATAAATCAATCCATATTTTAAGATATATCAATCCATACTAATAAATTATTTAAAATAAATCAATCCATATTTTAAAATAAATCAATCCATACTAATAAATTATTTAAAATAAATCAATCCATATTTTAAAATAAATCAATTCATAGTAATAAATTATTTAAAATAAATCAATCCATACAACTACAATAATAAATCAATCCATACTTTAAAATAAATCAATTCATACTAATAAATTATTTAAAATAAATCAATCCATACAACTACAATAATAAATCAATTCATACTAATAAATAAATCAATTCATACTAATAAATTATTTAAAATAAATCAATACATATTTTAAAATAAATCAATCCATATTAATAAATTATTTAAAATAAATCAATCCATATTTTAAAATAAATCAATTCATACAACTACAATAATAAATTAATCTATATTTTAAAATAAATCAATCCATACTAATAAATTATTTAAAATAAATCAATCCATACTAATAAATTATTTAAAATAAATCAATCCATATTTTAAAATAAATCAATCCATACTAATAAATTATTTAAAATAAATCAATCCATACAACTACAATAATAAATCAATCCATACTAATAAATTATTTAAAATAAATCAATACATATTTTAAAATAAATCAATCCATACTAATAAATTATTTAAAATAAATCAATTCATACAACTACAATAATAAATCAATTCATATTTTAAAATAAATCAATTCATAATAATAAATTATTTAAAATAAATCAATACATACAACTATAATAATAAATCAATTCATATTTTAAAATAAATCAATCCATACTAATAAATTATTTAAAATAAATCAATCCATATTTTATAATAAATTATTTTAAAATAAATTATTTTATAATAAATTATTTTAAAATAAATTATTTTAAAATAAATAACCTTATTAAATTATTTAAAATTATTTTAATAAATAACTATATTTTATAATTGTTCTTGAAGAGGTTTGAAGACCTTTGAAGACATAAAACTAAGTCTGCATCAAGAATAGTTCGCGCAAATATTTGAAGAGCTTCTGTCTTCTAAAAAACAAACAGTCTGCGAAGTCTAATGTATGCGCGTAATATACGCAACGCAAACATAAAAAATTTAAAGAATTTACACCGTAAGAACAAATATCACCTAACCTTTATTCTTGATTGTGATTCCACGCTCACCTGCAACGATAACAGTGGTGGCCATATCAAGAAACATACCGTGTTCAACAACACCAGCAACCCTCAATATAGCATCGCTGGCAATCTGCGAATCCCCCAGCTCTTTCTTTAAATACAAATCGACGATGTAATTCCCATTATCCGTCACAAATGGATTCCCTTCACAATCATTCCTCAGCTTGGCGACGCAGCCAGAGCGTTGGAATAAGTTTTGGAGTTTATTCGCAGTGAATTTCCAGCAGAAGGGGACGACTTCAACGGGCAGAGCTAAACCGTTACCTCCCAAATGTTTAACCAATTTGGATTCATCGACGATACAGACAAATTTCTTGCAAGCACCTTCCACCATTTTCTCTCTTAAAAGCGACCCACCTCTCCCTTTGACGAGATTGAGATGCGGGTCGACTTCATCGGCGCCGTCGATGGCTAAATCAATGGTGGGATGCCTGTCGAGATCCGAGAGTGGGATACCCAAAGAGAGAGCTTGTTCTTGCGTTTTCTTCGACGTGGGGATCCCGACGATGTTGGTGAGCTTGCCTTGACGGAGCAACTCGCCGATTCGATCCAGGGCGTATTTGGCAGTCGAACCGGTGCCCAGACCCAGAACCATACCCGACTCGACGAACTCGACGGCTTTGTAAGCGGCGATTTTTTTCAAATCGTCCTGGGTTAGGATGACAATGGGAGGAGAGAATGATAAAGCCTCCACTGAGACAGCTTTTTCGGACCATTTAATCGCCATTCTTGGAGAGTTAATGGTTAATAGAGAAGAACGGATTAAACGAAAACAATATGAGGATAAATTAAAGGGTGAAATGGGGCAAAAGAAAGAGTGGGTTTTATTCACCTCATGCATATTCCCAGAAACATTGATTTCATTTTCAACGATTCTGCCGCGTTCCTTTCAACGAAGCATTCAGAAATTCGATATGATAAACATGTTGTTCGTGTCTAAAACTATTCAACTGATGTCAATGTGTTCAAGTCTTGAACTATTAACTTAAACCTATGCTTGAATTGAAGGCGTCTAAAAAAAAGTCAAATTTATATATCTAATTGGACTTTAAAAAAAGGGTTAAACACCAAAGCATACGAAAGAAACTAAATTTAAATATTAAAATATATATTTACCCTTTAAAAAACCACAACCATTCTCCAGCGAAAAAGGGAATTACTCGCGCATAGATGGCAAACAATCAAATCATATCTCTTTGAATATTCTCCAAGTTAAAATGAATGTTATTTTCTCGAGATATTATAAGTTTATATAATTACGTTTCTAAAGTATATACATTGTTAATAATTTAAAAATATAAATATATATTATTTTATAGGCTTAATACTCAAATAAGTGCTTAAATTATATCATTTTTCTTATATAGGTGTCTATCTTATTTTTTTGGATCATTCAGGTGTCTAATGTTAGAAACATGATCACTTTAAATGTCCAAGATATAACGACCATTAGTTTTCTTTATTATGACACGTGTCATAATCCGATAATTATGATTTTTAAAATATATATATATATATATATATATATATATATCATTATATTTATAAAAAAAGCATACTTTCTTTTAAATTACAAAAAAAACCCTCAAAATCCTAAAATCCTAACACTAATCCACCGTCGTTGCCCTTTCTAGCCATGACCACCGCCGCTGACGTTATCTTTGTCATCATCCTAGTTATAAGTCATCGTAGATGTCGCTGATTAGCCGTTGGAATCGTGTAGGATCACGATTTTCATCTTAGGATTTACGTGATATAAAATGTCGATTCACCATCAATCGGTCACGATTTTATAGGGTTTTTGTCATCGGGGGGAGGTGAGGTCGGGTGGAGCTTCATCAATGACAAAGGGCGACTGTCGGTGTGGGTTTAGGATTTGAAATGAATATTTTTAAAGTTTTGGAATTATTTCGAAATTAACGTCGTTGATTGCCTGTGTTTCTAATGTGGTAATATTTGTTACATTAGACAACTAAATGGTCCAAAAAAATACTGTATAGACCTATTCGGGAAAAAGGGTATAATTTAAGCACTTATTTAGATGTTAAGCCTATCTTATACATCCCAAATTATTAAAAAAAAAAAAGATAATGAAATAAATAGAGACTATACACCCAACTCAAAATGGAGCTTTGGTATAATTTAGACACCATTTGTTGCGGCTGACAATGTAATACTATTGTTGTTTGAGCTGCAAATGTTTTCCAGGACATGCATTTTTACCGGCAACGATCTGTTCAGGACATGCATTTGTTGCCGAAACCATGCACGTGAAGTTCTGCCAAACCTTGAAACATATAAAATTTAGTCAGATTTTTTTTTTGTTAAATTGATATAAATCATAATAACTGTTGAATGCATAAATAATAATTTCAAGGAAATAACTTAAGTTCGAATAGATGGTAAAATAAATACAAAATATTAAAGAAAAATGCATATAGATTAGATTCAATAAGATGCGGTAAAAAAAACCCAAAAGTATGTATGCATTGAAGTTGACCCAAACAGATACATTTTCATTTTTTAAACAATCTCATTGATTAAATCAATTGTCTTTTTAACTCCTTATTTAATGAGTTAATTCAATTTTATTCTTAAGATAATTCTATCAGGTGAGTTACACGCGCCAGAACAAAAGTGGCGTGAAACAGAGACTGTAATTATTTAAACCCGTGACCTCTCTGCCTTGTCTCTTAAGTAAACAAATACTACCAGATTTCGAACCCCAAAAATTTAATTTTTTTTGCTTTTTATTTTCTTTCTCTAAAACACCGTTACAACTTCATCTTCTTCTCTGCATACCCTACTGACCACCATGAAGCTCAAAAATATAGGTAAAGTATACCCATCTCCTTCTTATTCTTGTGAAGATTATCTTCCCGTTTTGAAGCTTCTTCCGGCCGCCATTTTAGCTATTGCTTCAGTCCTTTCTCTTGAGGACAGGGAAGTTTTGGCCTATATGATAACCAGGTCCCTCAAAACAACCACCACTACTGCCACCGCCTCCTCTTTAATGAGCCAAGATTTTTCTTCCAAGAAAAAAGCTGCCAAGAAATCACCACTGGCCGCAGTAAAGATGGCCCCAAAGGGTGGATGTTCCGCCCACAAGCCACCCGTTTTCGATTGTGACTGTTTCGACTGCTACACGAGTTATTGGTTTCGCTGGGACTCTTCTCCCAACGGTGAGCGTATCCATCAAGTTATTGAAGCTTTCGAAGAGCATCTAACTCACGGGGAAACCAAGAAGCCTTCCAAGAAAAGCGCGCGGCTCAACAGGAAGGACGGCAGCGGCAAAATGGCCACTCGGGTCGCTGAAGTTCCAGTCGTCGAATCACCGGGACAGCCCGGCCGCAAAGCTCCTGTCTTGGAGCTTCCCAACAAGGAAGCACCGGTTTTTGCTGCCTCAACGGATGACAAAGAAGTTAAAGAGGAAGTTGTAAAGGCGGAGGCGATTGAAGTGTTTCCGGTAGCAGATTCAGATGGAGATGTGCATACGACGGGAACAGCGGACGCGGCGGCGACGAGTAGCCAAAAGGGTCTGGCTCGGAAGGTGTTACTGGACGTGTTAGGGCTATTCAATTCTCGTTTATGGGGCCTTTGGAATCCAAATGTGTAATTTTTTTCTTTTGCGAAATTCGAGACCTTTGAAATGAGGAAAATTTTAAATTATATTTTTTGTGGGTGGTTAAAGGATACATCGGTGCCGGAATATAGGGGGTGGTCGGCGGTGGTCCTTGGCATTAATGTACTTTACGTCGAGCTGTCGTTTACATGGTAGGAAAAAGGATGTTTATAAATTGCTTCTCTGTTGAGCATTGAGTGGATAATTGATATGACAAATTGAAATTTTAATTTAATCCAATTTTTTTTGCTTAGGAATTAAGTTTATATATGATTAGTAAGATAGTTTGGAAGAGTGGGGGTCCAGTTTGAGTAGAAGATCGAATTGGGTGGTAAATTATATAATATTTTAATTCTACTGAGATAATATACTTAATAATCCCTAAATCTTTTTTATTTTATTCGGTGCTCGAGCCTTGGATTAATGATTCTTGCTTTACAAAACCACATAAATTTTGACTTTTTAGTATATTTTTTCTAAGATGAGATGTGACCTATATTATGTTTTATAGGATATTTTTAAAATTTATTAAACAAAATAATATATATATATATATATATATATAAAAGAAAGTCTCACATGCTGAAATCTATCTTAATATATGATTTAGAAAATACGTTATTAATTTTATTATTATTTTTTAATAAATTTAACAAAAAAATATCGAAAATATTATCATTTCTATTTATTTTGTTATTATTGGGTGTTTATCGATTTTGTTAACATATCTAAAAAGTGTTATTAATTTTGTTATTATTGAATACTTTACCGAAAATGTTAAAAAACATTAATTTTTTAAGTAGAAATAATAATGTTTTTAGTAAATTTTTACCGGATTTATTAAAATAATAATAATAAAACCAGTAACGCATTTTCTTAACCCTTTATTAAAGCTGTCGCACGATAAAACTTCCCTATATATATATATATCACTATTAAAAAATCAATAATCAAGCTGAATAATTTTTTAAAACATTAAAATAGTAATAAAATATAATTTTAAATCCTTTAATAATGTACGATTTAAAGCTCTCATTTCTTTTTGTTGTCATCGATAAAGTAGGGTACCAAAGTTGCCTTATTTTTTCTTGGCAAACTTTTCCCTGCTAGACATGGTTTTGTCCATTTCTTTGTGAAATCCAGTAGAGAAAAGGACCGTCTCTCCCTTTGGATTACAGCACAATTTTAATGTTCTTTTTTTTGTGAAATTAAAAATATGTTTATTAAATAAAAATTTGTTTTCAATAATAAAACCATGAAAACACATTTATTCGTCTATTTTTTAAAACATAATTATGATAATGAAAATAAAATATCGACTAAGCTTATAACGTATTAATAGAAGATATCACTTAAATCGTGATTATCACTAAATTTTGGACAACTCCTTCCCTTTCCCCAAATTCTTACGATATGGACCCAAACTAGGGTTATAGGTTTAATATTAAAAAGGTTACTGAGAATATATATTTTTGTGTTTAGATTAATTTGAACAATGATACAATCTTTATTTTTAATAATCATTATTAAAAAAATCTAACCCAATAAATTTTATTCCTGCTTTTAGAAAGTGAAAACAAAAATATATATATATTATTTTTAAAAGATCTAAAATTTCATATCATAGAAAAGATAATTTTTTAAAGTATTGTCTCGTAATATTTTGAGGTGGCACGTGACACCGATTAATATAAAAATCTGTTAGATTTTATAATCAACCTTGATAAGTGGAATGAATCGATAAAATTTTGAAGTGCAAGGTTTGGTTAGGTATAATTTTTCTAAGGATTTGTTTGATTTTTTTCAAACGTACGAGGGCTTTTGGCACTATTAAACCTAAAAAAAAGGATCCTTCCCTTCTGTTATGGTTTGAGCCCGACAAGAAATCACTCCCTAATCGCACAGCAACATGTATTTTAACTAATAACTTCGTTAATCCAAAATGCAAATTGTAACCCCTCGTACCGATGCGGGTAATCTGATCCGATATGGAGTGTCACATTAGGGCCACCGGAGTGACCCACTGTAAAAATAATGGAAAATTTAATTTTTTTTTATCAAAACATGTAAACTCATAAAATCATTAATCGGTATGCTTAATTAAAACTTTTTATCAAAACATGTAAACTCATAAACTCATAAAACTTTGAAATTTTACAATTTAATCTACCGTTTCTTTCAAAATACCAATTAAATCTAATATTTTATAATTTCTAAAATTTAACTCTTAAATTTGGGTGTTACACAAATGGTGCTTGAAATTATATATATAACTTTTTTAATTAGTAAAATTAGGGCAAATGAAGGAAACTAAACCCATAAGTTTTATAAACACATGTTTCATTCAGTGGACAACGTAGATTTTATGGTCCGAAAGGAGGTTGATGCATAACATGAGAGAACAATGGTCACATAATTTCATTGTAATATTGAAATGTCTTTGTCGTCGACTGACAATGAAACCTGTGGTGATTAAAGCACACTGATGACAGGTCAACGTTAATAGGTGAAAGCCTGCTTTTGCTATATTATTACAGAAAGGGACAAACTGAGGTTAATTGTTGGTAAAGTCAAGGTTAAAGAGTGAAAATGCAAAGCCAAAATTACCCAAAAATCTACTCATCTTTCACTGATGAATGCAGGTTGATGAACAAAGTGATGATGCCAAATGAGGATGTAGCTTGGGGAATCAGACAAAACACATGCTACTACTGTGTGCATTAATGCCTTGTGTTCAGACATCTTTGTTTCTTTTGTTTTCTGTGTGCTGTTGGGACATTCAGCCTCAAGACCAAAACTGACGGATAAAAGGTTGAGAAATGTCGCACCAAACTCTTATCATCAAAATGTTACCTTCACATTATTTTAAGTGATTATAAGGTAATATTCATCAAAATCTTTCAATGTATACACATCCTACAGATACAATTGTTCGAATTCGAAACTTCTAAAAAGAACAATACTTACTTCTACCATTAAAATTGGTCACTTCTCCTAATCTTTTTAAATACGCTAAACCTCTACAAAAATTTAGTATTTTGTGTGTGTATTTTGGGCGAGGTTCTAAATTAAGTCATACATTTTTAATTTCAAGCTTATGAAGTGACCAATGGGCCTAAAACAAAGCGGAACGTTGCCAAAGCTTCACTCTTATTAATAGGCCTACTGCCCTAAAACTATCACATTATCACTACAGCTGATATAAAAAAACTTTGGATAATGTATTTTTGAATTTGATTTAAATTCTTAAACGATAAAAAATTAATTACTATATTAAAATTTAAAATTGATCAATAATAAATTTTAAAACAAAGTTTTTATTATTTTAAATTTTAATTAATAAAAATATTTAAAAAAATAATAATAATTTTACCTCTATGAAATTAAATAGAGCATAAGATTTAGCTTATCTTATATAATATTTAAATTAATCATAATTCTTTAAATTTTAAATAATTTTTTACATTTATAAATATTTGAATTCGTGTCTTTTAAATGATTATAACAATAATAATAATTTAAATTTAAATTTATCAAATGGTATCATTTTTAAATAGATCATATCATTTAAATTAGCGTTTTTATTAATTAAAAGAATTATGTATTAATAGTCTTTTTTATAAAATATTATATTGTGAACAGGCCTATATATAAATAAAAAAAACTAATCGAGTAGTTAAAAAATAACCAATTGGGGTATAATGTTCTTTCTAGGATGAGGTGAGCACTATGGAGTCTGCAATCATTTGTACGCACGTCTCTCATACGACAAAGTACTAAGGTTTTGTTTCAATTTTCATGCATGTTATAATTATAGTGACAAAACCAATATTAAAAGAACGAGGAATTAACAATAGGTGTACAATGTTCCTAGATTCTTACTATCAGGCACACTCTTTTTCCTCTATTTAGGTTTAGGGAGGTATTTTAACGAGGTTCTTGAGGTGATGTACTTTGTAAATGATTATAAAACAAAGTACCTTCTTTCAAAAAAAAAAGAACGAGGAAGATTAACGTGGTTTTGTCAAATTTATAGAATTTATGCCTTGATTTTCCTTCTTTTGTTTATTATTACTTTTTATTTTATCTAAATAAATGAGATATATGTCAACTTTTAATATTGATATAATAATGACAATATTTCATTTGATAAATGATAATGTCACGGGCCGTGATACTTGGGTCTGGGACATTGGCACAAGTGTCTGCTAAAGAGGTTATATGCAGAGTGTGGGCTTGTCAAGGCCGACAGACTTGATCCATCACTTGGAGAATGTTGTGGAGTCCATTCACATTGGTTGTGCAGAAAAAGAAAGTGACATCATATTCGAAGATGATCACAATAGTTCTGTAACACCCCCCAACCCGTATCCGATCTGGATACGAGTCCGAAGTGTCACATTGACTTTTCAAACATTTATTCGTATAAAAATAGTGAGTAATTTAAAAACTTTGATAACATTTAACTTATTCAAAACGTTTACAAAATATATATCAGAGTTCATACAATTTATGTCTTTAGACTACATGCCAACTACACTCTATATACAGTACATATATTTTCTGATCTGACATTTGGTAAGGAAAACTGACCTGTCTTGCTCCGCATTACTCTTTACTCTTCTCGAAACCTACGTGTGAAACAATCACACGCTAAGTCGAAGACTTAGTGAGGCATAACGACTTATAATGCACTTCATAACATATATCAATACATGCATGTTCTGTTCTATCATGTTATACTAATTCCATGCATTCTTCGTATCATATAAAATCATATCAGATTAATTACAGTAAATACATACATACACATAATTCATCATTAACAGTTTATCATGTAATCACATACTTTTATTGTTAACCTTTTCAATCAAACACTGTACACACACAACATCATATGGTTCATGTAACACATTTCAAACCACTTATAAACCCATCGTATATATATCACATTCAGTATGCTTGTTTAATCACTTTATTAGCCCATGTACACTAGTGAGAACTTAAGGTATGTGAGTACATTGAGGTTGTGCACACATATGCTGTCACCACAGCTCGATCAATGTCCCGAAGGACCAGTCCATAGATTCCGAAGAACCTAGGTAATCAGTCCATATGTCCCGAAGGACATAGGTAAACAATCCATATGTCCCGAAGAACATAGGTAAACAGTCCATATGTCCCGAAGAACATAGGTAAACCCTCGACCCTTGGCATGCCAACTATACCCCTAGCTCTCATATCATATAACATGGGCATTATTATTTATAACAGTTCACATTACTTATTCATATGCTTTCTCTTATAAACACATATCTTTTCTTTTCAGTCACGTATCACATGTACGTGTAATCATTGATCTCATAATCACATGTTCCTTCTTTTCTGTCACATACCACATGTATGTGTAAACATATATCTAATATCATATGTTGCATGTAATCACATAGATCTTATCTCATAACATATACTTGTTTTCACGTATATATTTCATATCATTTCTTATACCATCACATAATCCATTTAACATACATAACATATCATGTAACATTATAATAGAAATACCTATAAGTCATATCACTTAGAGCACATAAAAGGACATATCAATTCATATAATCAAGCATACATACATGCATATTCAACTCATGCCTTTAATCATGAATTCATGTGTAACACTTCAGGAATTAGACTCATCGCAAGTCTTATTTCCATCGCACATCATATACTATTGAATATGCACTCACCTGGCCTCACTAGTCAATTCCAATCTCTTATCTTTCCCCTTGATCGATCTTACTTGTCAATGATTCCGGAACTTGGTTAGGCTCTGAATCTACATAATTATACATTTTAAGACAATCATTAGATACCTACACCTTGTAATTGGATACTAGCAACTTAAACGAACTTATTAAACCAATATGCACATTTTTCCTTTAGGGGGAATCGGTTCCCTACTAAGGGGGTATCGATTCCCTAATGACATTCTGGAAATGTTGTTCGTTTGAAGGGGTATCGGTTCCCCTTGAATGGGTACCGATTCCCCTTGCCCAGAAATCATATTTTCAACCCGAAAATTACTTCATTTCCACTCAAACACGTCATATATCATCCCCTTTTCATTCTTAACTCTAGTACACATACTTAAACCAATCTATATTCATTTATTTCATCTTAAACCTCAAAATCCTATCTTCCATATGAGATTCAAAAATCATACCCAATTTTCAATGTGTTCTAATTCCAATTCTAACACTTCATACTTCTTAATTAGATTGATGACAAGTCAAATTCATCCATAAAACTTCAACAACCATACCATATCAAAATTTCATCTTAAAACTCATATTGCAAATTCCTTCATAATTCCTTTATCTTATTGTTTAAATCCCATATAAGCTTTCCTTAAGCTTATTTAATACCCAAAGAATCAAAACTAAGCTTAAAACTCCAGAATTAACCAACTAAAATTAGACTTACCTTTGCCTTGCTCTCCCACGTATGAAGAAGAAGAAAGGAGCAGAGAACTCTGGATACTTCTCAAATTCCCCACGTTTATATTACCTAAAAAAAATTATAAAAAATCTTTATGATTAATTGACCATAATACCCTTAATTTCCTTTAATAATTACCAAATAACCTTCAATATATATTCAAATAATCATTGAATTCTTTCATTCTTTTACTTTAGTCACCAAATTCTGAAACTTTACAATTTGGTCACTAACCCGGTATTGCGGATGTTACAAGTTCGGTAAATATGATGAGACAACAAATCATGAATATAGTGTGGGGGAATCTTACCATATCCAGTGTGAAAACCTATCCAAGGAAAAATTATACTAATTGATGTAATTAGGTAGGATTGGATTGAGTTTCCTTAGTTAAGAGAAGATCTTGCGGATACAATCCCTTAATTTGGGGGATTTAGGAGATTGTATTCAATCTGGGCCGCTAATATAAATCGATCCTAGCCATTGATTGAGATGGAGCTCAACTATAAATATAGAGTCTCCCATCCTCATTTGTATCAATCCATTCAACCGTTCATTCATTCATTTCTCCATTCTATTGGGAGAGAGTAATAAAACTATGAGGCATTTACTCTAATTCTTGTGTTCTTTGTTTTTTATTCGCTTGGTGCTTGTTACCCCTCTTGGTGGCTAGGAGTAGTCATGCCTGTGTTTGCACTTTCACACCATAGTCCAACCTTGGTGGCTTGGAGTAGCCACGTTGGTGTTAAAGCTTTCGCATCATAGAAGCTTTAAGGGCTTGGTTCCAACCTTGGTGAATTTGCATGGTCACTAGGCTTGGGTAAGACTTATTTAGTCACAGAGAATACCCAAAAGTGTCAAGAAGCGTCTAAGGCCGCACATCTCATTAGACCTTAACTCTGATATTATGACGGTTTGAACTTGAATATTATGAGGGCGTGACAATAATATTAATTGAATTATAATTTAATGTATTATTCTCTTAATAGGAGAATAAAGAGCACCCCTCCTAAAGTTATTCAATAACACTTCACTTTGGACGGTTTGGTGCATCTCACATTTCTAGACAAAGCACGCATGTGACAACATATTGGGATGTTACAAAACACATAATTAAATCTCCTAACGGTAATCATGAATGTTAATTAAGGAAATATTAATATTTAATTAGGAGAATTGGGACTTTAATTTGGAATATTCCTTTTTAAGTACTCATAAACAGTGAAACGAAGTGCGGGGTTATGATAATATCGTATGTAGCGTTTGAAAAAAGTAACTTCATACATACATACATATATATATATATATATATATATATATATATATATATATATATATGTACAATATAAAATTTAATAAACGATAACTTATATATAATTTAGATCACTAAAACATATAAAAATTAATATAATATATATAGTCAAAAAATTAATATAATATATATACAAATTTATGATTTATCACTAAAATGTACACCTATACAACTAACAAATATTATTGTTGAGCCATACAATTAACAAATACACCTACACAATTTAAACCTCTTTTTTATTTATTCGATCTCTTTACTTAATCTTACTCATATGTAAAGTTTATCTATACAACTAATAAATATCATGTGTAATAGTCAAATAATAATAATAAAATTTAAATTTAAACATTATAATTAATATTATTGTTAAACAATAATCATGATGAACGATGTTTTATTTTATCCAAAAAATGACTCGAGTTGACTTATTTTTTTAAAATAAAGTTTAAATGATAAAATATGATGCATCAACGCGATCAACTGAAATTTTTTAATTCGATTTGATTAAATACTCACCCTTACTTATTCTTTCATTTTAAGTATATTTTTTTATTCAATTTTGATTCACATTATCTTCTATTATTTTAAAATATCCATATAACTTCAGTTATTATTTTCAACAATAATTTTACTATTTTTAATTTAATCTCTCAATTTTACAATTTATTCAATTTGATTTCTTACTGTTATTTTTATAAAAATAAAATTTCCACATATTTTTTTTTGACTCCTTTATACTTCGTCTCTAATTATATTACTTTAAAAAATAAAACTATAAATATATTTTATAATTTTAATCATATTAAATTATTTGATAAATTACATTATGAAAAAATACGAAAAAAATATACGTAAATCTTATGTGTTTAGAGAAAATCATTAAATTAGAATTAGATGACAGCATAATTTTATAAAAAATATAATTGTATTTAAATAAAAACTCTTTTTAATTTGATTTGATTCAATAGAATAAACTCCATAACAATCATCATCAATAATAAATGAATCTAAAAGAAAATAAAAAAATACATTCTGAAAGAAAAACAATACATGTACCTTTATAGCAGTGCCATCCTTGCTTCCATCCCTTCTCTTTGTACTTTAATTTTATATTTTTTCTTTTCTTTTCGCAATTGGAAAGGCTGGAAAGCAACTACGCTGTACCTTTCCCTGCCACTCGTTCTTCTGCTTTTTACCCTAAATCTTCAACTCTCCATTATTTCATTTTCAAAACCAAACTAATTTCGAGGCTCTAAGCCTGAAAAAGGAAGGGGAAAGAAGAGTTGGGAAGCTCAACAGTGAACCCCACTTTTTTTTTTTACTATTTTCATTCATTCATAATACTCTCCCCCATTCAGTACTTTCAAAACTCACATTATCCACTCTTTCTATTCGATTATCCTTTAGCTCACAGTCTCTTCCTCTTCGCCTCTAGTTTTTTCCACCCACTGTTCTCCACCCATGTTGATTGGAACTGTTGTCAGACTATCACTGGCATCCTACTAAGTGAAACTCTCTTTTTTATTTTCACTTTCGTGTTTACTTGCTTCAATCAGTAAACTTTGAGCTCCACGGTTCCCCAGTTTTTCCATCTTCACTTCCTACTTTTCCTCTTTTTTCCCTCTTGGACGGTTTATCTGAAGACTGGTGGCAGTCCGCAGCTTACCGACATATGATTCTTCCCTCTCTGTCAAATTTCTGGGATTTTCTCAGGTACCCTTTTCTTCCAATTTCTTTACTTTTTTTTCCCCTTCTAAGATCAAGCTAGTAGTAAGTATATAAAATTATACTCATAAAATGTAGGGTTCTTTAGCTTTCTTCTCGTTGCCGATGATAGTGATTCCCGTTGTACTTCAAAGCTAGTTAAGCATCAGCTCGTGGGCTATTTTTAATCTCAACAATTGGGATTTTCAGTTGAGTTTTATTTGAAAAATAGTTCTTTAATAATTTATTTTCTATGGTGAAAAGGCTTTTTTCTTTCCAAAAATATCCTCCATGCTATTTGTGGTTGGGATGAGAGTGTTGACTCCAATGATGTTGACAGGTTTTATGGCTACGTCAAAATTTGAAACTTTTATTATTACTGGGAGTTTAATGACCCATTAAGGACCTTCACCCCCATTCCCCACCCTTTCCTTTTTGGAGTTTAGCCTCTCATGCTCTTCTTTTTCACTTGTTGCTCCATCTTTGATGCTTCAACTTGGGACCATAAGAAGAAAAGTCCCATTTGTTTTCTTCCATTGGAAATGGATGTTTCCTGGTCATGATTCTTTGAGACATTTAACAAAGATAAAGTTGTTGACTAGTGACCAAAAAATAAACAATCATAGTCTTGGTACAAAATTTTAACCTTTTGTGATTATGAAGAACCCTTTGATGATTTGATCAGTTGCTTGATTTTGAGTGGGGCATAAAGATTTGATTAACATGACAGGAATGAAGAAGATTAGAGACTAAAGCTGTTAAATCCAGTAGGTCAGTAGGTGAATCAGGTTTGGCTTGGTGTTCTCGAGAGTGTGGGGGACATTTCCTGGACTTCAGTCGATGGAATCCTCGGCGGCGGCATCCTTTAAAAGGGCTCGGTCGCCTGGCAGCGGAAGCCTAGCGCCTTCGTGCTTGGTCGATGGCTGCACTGCAGACCTCAGCAAATGCAGGGACTACCATCGACGCCATAAAGTATGCGAAGTTCACTCGAAGACCCCAAAAGTTACAATTAGGGGTCAAGAACAACGGTTTTGCCAGCAGTGTAGCAGGTAAATATATTTGCTGCAGTTTATGTAGTGATTTAAGGTTTACGAACTCTGTTTCTTTTAGTTTCTTTGTGTCTGAATTCTGATATTTTTTCATCGTGAAGTACTCGATTTTCATGTCTTGTCCATATCCGGACATGTACAGATTTGGATGCTAATACTCTAATGTGATTTGCTCCTTACAAGATTGTATCTTTCATCGATAAATGTAGGAGATTAGTTTATGGTGAATGTATTTTATTAGGTTTCATTCGTTGGTGGAGTTTGATGAGGTGAAACGAAGCTGTAGGAAACGTCTCGACGGACATAATCGACGACGGAGAAAGCCCCAACCCGATTCCCTGTCTGCGAATTCAGGGAGGTTTCTATCCAGTCACCAAGGTTTAACTTGCTTTTTTAATGTTTTCATGCAAAGCTTGTTTTACCTTAAATTTCCAAATGTTTGATATCAATGGAGACTCTGCTGCAGGTACTCGATACTATCCGATAGGTAGCCCCCAAATATTATCGACAACTGCCATAACGTCTTCTTGGATGAGGACCCTGAAATTGGAAACCGATATGAACTTGATAAACTTCAGCGGCCGAACTGGCTTGTTCCCTGGATTCTCATCTGATAACTACAAAGGAGAAAAACAGTTCTCATTCTTACAAACTACTAGTTCATCACTCCCTGGAAGTGTTTCGGTTTGTCAACCGTTTCTCAATGTGATTCCTTCGTCAAGCAATGGTGGCAGCAACCTGAAAATGTTCCCGAACGCGTTAAATCAAACTATCGACTCAAATTGTGCTCTCTCTCTTCTGTCATCCCAACCGGCTGAGATTAGGGAGATTGGTCTGAGCCCCACGGTGCAACATGGCTCAGCTTTATCATTGATCCCAAACTTGCATTATAATGATCTAGGAGGAATTGGAGGTGAGCAAATCGGAACTGCCGTTTTGGCCGCTGACAGTGGCGGTAACACCAATATCCATGGCCATGAAATGTTCCAAAATAATCATCCCGGGTGTTCTGCAACTGGTTCTCACCATACACTCTCCTTCTCATGGGAGTAAAAATATCTGCCATTTCCTATCTACCTCCAAATCAGATAGTTTTGAGTAACGAAGTTGGAAATTTATAAACATATTCGTGTGTTTTGCTTTTAGAATATTTAATGAACTTTTGTTTGAATGAGTGGGGAATAATGTATGAATCTTTCAGACAAAAATATGTTTGCTTCTGCAGTTGTAGTTGCCCCATGGTATTTGATGCTGTAGTTCTCTAACATACATTCATCAAAGATAATAATGATATTTCATGCCATAAAAACATAGGGTGAATTGCACATCTAGTATCCCAGTGTAATTATCACTTTTATTCGTTTTGGTAGTCAATTGTTTTTCTTTCAAAAGACTACTTAACATTTAATTTTTATTTTAATTTAATTACTCCTCGTTAAATAAATTACAGTGATACTAATCAATCCTCTCTCTGAAGAAGATGCCAGACATGCATGGGCCACTCTTTATTCCTAAAACCAACGTTAGAACATCGCCTAAACACCACATCATTAACAAAAAGCTTTAGGGATTAAAAAAAAGAAATATTGATCATTATATATCAGTGATGGAAAAGCTAAAGGGAATATATCCAGTACCTACTCAGTCTGGGACCGCCATTAATCCTTTCTTTTAAGCTTATGGACGGCGTGGGTTAGCCCGGGGGGTTTCAAGTTTATCCAAAAAGCAAAAGCACACCAACCAACGTGTATCAGGTGTGTGTGTTATTGCTTCATTTCCATCGCTGTAGCAAGATTCTGCAGGGAATTTGTTGCATCAATCAGGTATTTGGAAGTGACTGATTTGCCATTTCAGATAATATATTGTATTAGGATCAACGGAAGGCACTAAAATAAATGTTCTCTCTCTCTATATACCTGGGAGTTTGCTCAACAAAAACAATCTTCTGTTCTAACTAAGCTTCATCGTCGACTAAAACAGTTTACAAATGGAGGCAGCTCAAAAGAAGGGATTCTTCAGAGGCAAGTTAGCCAAGTCTTTCTCTCTATTTACCAAGCCAAGACCGACCAGCGGAAGCAGCAGCAAGGTGGTTCCCTGCTCGACGCAACCAACACCGATCAGTTCATCGTATCTGAGGGTGTGGATGTATTCTTATGCTAGCTCGAAGCAGCCGATTAGTAGCTTCCATGAACAGAATAATGTAGCAAGTCTTCAATCGTCAACGCTAAAGGTGTCGTATGCGTATGGAGTCGAGGCTTGGGGCCATGTCGACGAAAACGTGGATTCCAAGGCCTCCACCTATATTTCAAACGACCGACAAGGTTTCCAGTTTGATAGAGTTTGATTCCACTATGTATGTATCTGCTGAAGCACAACAATGGTAATTATGGTGGAGGTTAAATATAGCTTGTGATCCTTTTGAGTTGTGACCGATCGAGTATGGATTTATATTAGTGTGCTAATTCTTACAATTACAAATTACATACTTTGATCTTAATTAATTACTACTTGGTTCCGAGCTGTTAACACCATAAGCAGCAAAAATAGATTGTTCCCTCAATGCTCGAACGCTCATATTGTGTTCTATGTTCCAACTTATATTGATCCCATTTTGGGGATAGAAATGAATAAATTTTAATTCGATTTAGTTTTTTTTTAAATTTTAATTATTATGATTAAATTATTCGACTTAAATTAAATTTTAATTTCGATTTTTTATCAATTTAAAAATGCTTAATACAAAAATAAGTGTCTAAACTTTGTCTCGAAAAACATTTGTGCCTAAAGAAATTTTCTCTAAAACTAGATGCGTAACATTTTCATCGGAGATTTTTAAGTATCTGGACCTTGGCCATTAAGTGATACATGTCATGTTATGATAATTTATTTAAAAAATTTAAAAATATATTTTTATTAAAATAAAAACAACCCACAGCCCGTGTCCCTCCCCCTCTTTTCCCCTTTCCCCTTTCTATGGTCGTCGGCTGGTGATCCATGACTGTCACTGTCACCTTCATTGACACCAGCGTCAACCCCGACCAAACCTCCGTTGGTCTTTTGTCGTAAAGTGACACCGTTTTCCGTAGAGAAACGTTTAAGTTTCTGTTTTTCGTCGATTCCGATCGATCCCGATGTTCATAAGCCACACCGCCACCACCATTCAAACCATCGTGCAATTCCGATCAAAATCCAAGTGTTCGGCTATATATTTTTATATATAAATTAAGTTTTTTTTTAATTTTTTAAAAAAATAATGTTTTTATTATTAAAATATATATATATATATATATAACGGTAGTCACCTAAAAGTATAATTGAAAAAACGTTAAACACATAATTTTAGCAAAAATTTACGTAGGCACTAAAACATTTTATGAGACATTGTTTAGATACTTTTTTTTTTTGTATTAAGCTATTAAAAAGCGACCATACCAAATTACAGCACGAGCTAACACCAGAAGAGCTATCCTAGATCAAAGATGGAGAAGTACATGGCTAAAACACAAACAACGGTTCATAGGTTACCCTAAACTACTAAAGACCAGCAAACCAAATGAAAACTTGAATACGAGATTAACTGTAAGGAAGGGGAAGGCATCTGAGATGCAACACCACACAACTAATGAGAGCACCAGGAAGCACGACCTCAAGGGATCAACAACATATGTAGAGCCATTAGCTGACCCAAACACAAAACTGGGACTGAGCTGACTCAGACCACAAGGACACAGTCCTCAGGCCTAAGCAGCAGTTCCACCTGCGAAAAACTTACCTCAGACAGAAGCAACAATAACCCCACAAAGCGTGAAATATTTTCTGAGATTTACGGTTATCCAAGAGCAACAAACACACCAGAAAGCTTTCTGAAATTAAACTCCACCAGCTGGCCCTGACTTCACAGCAGAATCGAACCCGAGCTTGCACTAAAACAACAAGACAAGCAGGCCCACCAGAAACCAACCCAGATTCAGCTACACCAGCAGCTCAAAAGATTACAGATCTTACTTATACCTGTGAAAAAGGATATGAATATATATATATATATATATATATATATATCTTTTATTATTAGAGAAAGTTATTTAAATTGAAATAAATATGTAACAATATTATAAAAGAAATATAATTAAATTTAAAGAGAAACCCAAACAAATTTGATTCGAATCGACTAGAATTTTATAAACTTGATTCAACTCGAAAAAATTCAAATAAAGTTTGAATTACAAAATAATACTCATCAACTTCACTAACTTAAATTTTCGTGACCTGATTCGACTTGATCGAATACTCACTCCTTCCGAAGGGTGAATTTTAAAAGCTATTTTTAATCTTTTGATTTATTTTTATGAATGATTTTAAATAGAGTATATATCATTCAGAAATTTTGCAAGTTTAATTCGTGAAAAAAGAATGTGATTATTGAAAATGAAAAAAAAAATACAAGTTAGAATAGAAAATTTAAAAGTAAATTAACTCGAACATCTGCAGCAGGCACAAACGAGAATTTTCCATTAATCTTTTTCGTGGAAATAGAAAACTTTCTTTCTTTTTATCCCAAACAAAGTAATGTCCAATCCCATCTACTCTATTTCATAGGCTTAGAGAATCCATATCTAAGATTATCATTCTTTGTTCTATAATAATTTAAAAAATCTAATTTACTTTTAATTGGTTTATATTTAATATTTTTACAAAGCGTTTACGTTTGAAGTAGCATAAACAATTAAACTAAAATTACTTTTAAAATGGGTTAATATTTTTTGCCTTCTCGATATATGAATTTATACCTTAAGAGTATGTTTGATTCACCGAAAGAATTATTTATGGAAATAGGATTCCATGAATAATATTAAATGTTTCTTTAGAATATATATAAAATGTATTTGCTTATTTTGTTTCTTATTTTATGATTGATCACTCATCATTATCAGTAATAATACCAAACAAAATTATATGAGATCATATCCTTCTCCTCTACAATTCCTTTTGCATGTCACGTATTTCCATCGAAAGCAGATAAGAACCGAGTTAGAATCTAATCCTATTACCAAAACAACATGACAGCACATAACAAGACAAAATTGAAGATATGTTGGCATATTCTTTAGCAACTTTATTCATCATGTGTCTGTGATAATCTATCCTATGTCTGAACCTATAAGATGCCAAACATGCATGGGGCAATCTTTATTCCTATAATCCACCAAAAAAAATGTAAATTATATCACCTTCCACGAAAAGAAAAAGGTACCTTCCCATATATACATTATATCTGTAACAAGATTCTGTAGGGAATTTGTTGCATTAATTAGGTGTTTGGCAGTGATTAATTTGCCATTTGGAATAATACATTGTATTATCGACAATAGAATGCCCTACAGCTAATGCTCTCTCTATATAAAGACATTAGATTTTGCTCAACAAAACCTTCTTTTCTTCTAACCTTCATCGTCCACTCAAACAGTTTACACATTCTTCCTCCTCTAGATTCAACTCAAATGGAAGCAACTCAAAAGAAGGGATTCTTCAGAGGCAGGTTAACCAAGTCTTCCTCTCGATTTACCAAGCCAAGGCCCATCAGCGGAAGCAGCAGCAAGGTGGTTCCCTGCTCGACGAAATCGACACCGAGCTATTCATCAATTCCGAGGGTGTCGCCCTATTCTTATGCTAGCTCGAAGCAGGCGACTAGTACTTCCCATGAACAGAAGAATATTGCGAATGTTGCATCATCAATGCAAAAGGTGTCGTATGAGTCTGCAATTGAGTATTGGGGTCATGGCGACGAAAACGTGGATGTGAAGGCCTCGAGCTATATTTCAAACGTCCGACAACGTTTCCAGCTTGATAGAGTTTGATTCCACATTACATGTTATATATATGTATCTGATAAACCATAATTATGGTAATTATGGTCGGGTTTAAATAGCTAAGTTTTGATCAATCTATTATGGAATATATATATAAGTGTGTGTGTGTATCCGATTATATATAAACAATAGAAGTAATAAAAAAGTTTTCTCAACAAAATTGTCTAATAAAACGAATGAAATAAAACCCTAAAAATGAACAAGGAAACGTATATTCTCACCCTTTCATGTCCGAAACATGAACAAAGTTTCGGGGTTGACGACAAAATATGCACCTATTTTTAATTTTTAGTTTGATACTTAATCTTTAGGGTAAACTACACGTTTAGTACCCGAACTATTAGTTTTGTTTCATTT